TAATATAAAGGGGGGAGTAATTAATATTACATTCCAGAAACAGAGGACCATAGGACCATCAAGGGAGAATAGCATGAGCAGAATGTGGGACCCCGTCCAGAAAAGCAGGGATACCAGAGATGGAGGCAGAAATGATGACATGGAGCGATAGATCAGCTGAGGATTCTAAACTCATGGAAAGAGAAAGGCTGTGTGCTGGCAACCAGGAGGCAGGCTTGCAGAATATGCCCTTTGCTTATTTAAATGATTATAATGATTATATATTCCTGAGTGTTTTGGGGTATATTAAAAAACAAAGGGAAAGGAAGCAAATACTGTTGAATGGTGATGCATGGAGGGGATTGTAATCATTGCAATGAAAAGAAATATGATAGGATAAGTGCAAAACTGATGTTATCCCAAGTAAACTATCACTTAATTCAAAATAAAAGCTTTAAGAAAGAAAAAAAGAGAGAGAGAAAAATGGTAGGAATATACAGAGTCACTTTACCAAAAAGAAATGGGGGATTTTCAATCATTTCAAGAGGCAGTAGCATATGATCAAGAGCTAACAATTTGAAGGAGGAAGTCCAAGGTTCACTGAATACATTAGCAGCAAAAAGGGCACTGGGAATTGATGGAACACACATTGAAATCTTTCAATGAACTGATGCGACACTGGAGGCACTCACTTATCTATGCCAAGAAATTTGGAAGACAACTACCTGGTCAAGTGACTGGAAGAGATCCATATTTGTGCTCATTCCAAAGAGAGGTGACTCAACGGAATGTGGAAATCATTAGATTATATCATTAACATTGCATACAAGCAAAATTTTGCTAACAATTACGCAAAAGCGGCTGCAACTATACATTGACAGAGAACTTTCCTCAGAGGTTCAAGCCCGTTTCAGAAGAGTATGTAGAATAAGGGCTATCACTGCTGACATCAGATGGATCTTGGATTAAAGTAGAGAATACCAGAAAGATGTTTATTTGTGTTTTATTGATTATGCAAAGTATTTCAATTGTGTGGATCATGACAAGTTATGGACAAAACTGCAGAGAATGAGTATTCTGAAACACTTAATTGTGCTCAGGAGGCTAAGAGGCAGTTGTTCAAATAGAACAAGGGAACACTGAATGGCTTAAATTTAGGAAAGGTTACACCAGGGTTGCATTATTTCACTATATATATTCAATCTGTATGCTGGGCAAATAATCTGAAAAGCTGGATTATATGAAGAAAAACATGGTATCAGGATTGGAGGAAGACTCATTAACAACTTTCAATATGCAGCTGATACACCTTGCTTGCTGAAAGACAAGAGAACTTAAAATATTTACTTATGAAAATCAAAGACCACAGCCTTCAGTATGGGTTGCCCTCAATGTAAAGAAAACAAAAATCCTCACCACTGAACCAATAAACAACTTCCATATTAATGGAGAAAGATTGACATTGTTGAAGACTTCATTTTGCTTGGATCAACCATCAACACTCATGGAAGCAAACGTCAAGAAATCAAATGACGTATTGCATTAGGCAAATCTGCTGCACAAGAGCCTTTTAAAGTGTTGAAGAGCAAAGATGTCAGCTTGAAAACTAAAGTACTACTGTCCTGAGCTATGGTATTTTCAATAATCTCATATGGATTTGAAAGTTAGACAGTGAATAAGGAAGACCATAGATGAATTTATGGCTTTGAGTTATGATGTTGGAAAAGAATGTTAAAAGTACTATGGCTTTCCAAAAGAACAAACCGATCTGTGTTGGAGTAAAGTATAGCCTTGAATGCTACTTGGAAGCTAGGATGGCTAGACTTCGTCTCTCATACTTTGGACACATTATCAGGAGAGACCAGTCCCTGGAGATGGATATCATGTTTGTCAAAACATTGACTTCCAAGGGGATCTGTTGGGCCACTTCAATTCAGGACAGAGAAATCAGTCCAGACAGTTATGATAACTGTTTTCTGGGACTCCTAAAGGTTAATCTTGATAGATTTTCTTGAAGGATACAAGATGTTCACATGGGCTTACTGTAAAAGATGTTTTCTGTTTTGTCTTTTTCCAACTTTTTTTTTTTTTTTTTTTTTACATTGAAAACTGCACCAGTTAGAAAAAGGCAAGGAAAGTTGTGCTAAGGATTGCATTTCTCCATTGTGACAAGGAATCTGCTCATTTTTGAGACTTTTGTTGGAGCACTTTACTGAAGCTACCCTACAGCCCTGATCTTGCCCCTTCTGACCGTTTTGTTCCCAAACTCAAAGAACTTGTAAAAGTAACATGATTTGAGACCCTCAGGATGCCCAAATTGCTATTTTGATGTGGTGTAAATCAAAGAGGAAAGAATTCTACCAAGAAGGATTGCTGTTGTTTTTACGTGCTGTCAAGTCAGTTCCACCTCATTGAGACCCTGTACAGGGTTACTGAGGAGCAGCTGGTGGGTTTGAACTGCCGACCTTGTGCTTAGCCTATAGGGTCACACCAGGAGTTAGAGAAATGGAAACACTGCCTTCAGAAGTGTATAGACCTAGATGCCGGGCAAGACAAGAAACAACAGCTTCACATCTTGACATTTTTGTTTAATATAAAGTTTCTACAATTTTCTAGGAATACTTTTGACTTATCCTTGTACTGTAATTCAAATGTATCAGTTCTTTTTCATCCTTGTACTACAGTTATCCTCTTTAAAGTGTTAATAAGTAAAGATGGTACTTTACTGATTAAAGTGTGCCTTACACAAGACATGGTATTTTCAATCACTTCAGCATGCAAAAGCTGGACAATGAAAGATGAAGACTGAAAAAGAACCGATACATTTGAATTATAGTGTTAGTGAAGAATATTAATATATCATGGACTGCCTATGAATATAATAAATATATCATGGACTGCCAGAGGAACACACAAGTCAGTCTTGGAGAACGTACAGTCAGAATGTTCCTTCAAAGAAAGGATGGTGAGACTTTGTCTCACTTACTTTGGATGTGTCATCAGGAATGACCAAGACCAAACTTCAGAAAAAGACATCATGCTTGGTAAAGTAGATCAGCCAAAAGGAGGGAGATGGACTAATACTGCAGCAATGTTCTCAAACATAACAATTGTGAGGATGGTACAGGACCAGTTAACATTTCCTTCTGTTACACATATATATAAGGAGCTCTGGTAGTGTAGTGGTTACGAATCGGGCTGCGAACCTTAAGGTCAGCGGTTCGAAACTACCAGCCGCTCCGCGGGAGAAAGATGAGGCTTTCTACTCCCGTAAAGATTTACACCCTCGGAAACCCTGTACAGGGTCGCTATGGGTCGGACCCGACTCGATGGCACTTAACAACAACAACAACAACACACATATATACATAAATGAACCAGAGTCGACAGAATGGCACCCAATAACAAACATATCTATTTGAAATTCAAATTTAACTGGGCATCCTATTTTTAATCTGACAACCTACAGGTTGTCCGACCTTTTAGACTCCCTTTCCTCTGGTTAGACTCTGAAAAGCAATTCTTAATTGCTCTAATGTGTGAATTCTTTCTTTATCACATTCGGGCTCTGACCCCTCTTCCCTACTTTGAAGCTTCCTCATCTAATGTGGATTCTAGTACCTTATACCAGGTTGTCCCTAAACATGGATGCCTCCTTAACTGTTCAGATTCTGATATTTTATGGTAGGGTAGCCCCAGTGTGAAAGCTCTTCTCATCCCACTCTGGCGCCAATATTCAGTACTAGACTATTTCTGCATGAGTGCTTTTCTCATCTGCTCAGCCTGACACCCTATGCCAGGCTCGTCCATCCCACTACATGCTGATGTTCTCATTTCGCTTGGGCAAACTAACATGCCAAGCTACCCCCTCCCTAGATTTCTCTTACCCTGTTCCGGATTGATATCCTTAGCCTGATATCATGCATGGGTCCTCGTCATGAGGACTCTGACTTCCTGTACTAAATTGTGGTATGGCCACTATCCTCATCCTGTTTAGGCTGTCTTCCTAGTAGACATGCTGCAGTGTGTGGAGATCTCACACAACACTGGGCTGACCTTCTGTGTGGAAGCTCTAACCTACCCAATGATTTCTGGACTGAATATTTCTGGAAGAGGATGAGATGTGGAATAGGAAGAGCAAGAGCAAGAGCAAGACTCAATATCACAATTCAAGTAAAGCAAAAATAGACATGGTGGAGAGTATTCAATCCAAAAGTGTAATATTCACAAAAGCATACCTACTGTTTGTCTTTACCCCTAATCACGTGCCTCTAAGCATCACATAATCCTAGTTTTTCTTTTGGATTGTATATACTTATGTTTGGGAAAATAAAAAATTGAATCTAACACATTTTCTATTTTTCTTTGGCTAAATATTTTAGGGGGCTTAGTTAAGGAGCTCTGGTAGCGTACTAGTTATGAATTGGGCTGTGAACCGCAAGGTCAGCAGTTTGAAACTAACAGCTGTTCCGCAGAAGAAAGATGAGGCTTTCTGCTCCCGTAAAGATTTACAGCCTAGGAAACCCTGTACAGGGTCGCTATGAATCGGAACCGACTCCATGACACATAACAACAACAACAACAACAATAGTTTTGGGAGGAGAACTAAAAGAAAGACTATTAAACATTTGCCAGTTTACTTTATTTCTCTTTATATGTATCTTTGGGGTATCTCATCCTTTAGTGCAGTGATTCCCAGATAGTTCTCTCTTTTAGAGTGTTGTTAACTATGATAATTACTTTTAGAGTCTAACTGTTAGTTCTCAATTGTTTTTTCTGGTATGCTCTTAGGGGCAAGAAGAGGAGAAAGGAGGGTAGAAGAGGCTGCAAAGTTCAGAAAACTCTAAAAACTTAAATACTCCTTTAACAACAGAATAGCATTCTGATCAAAGACAATATTAACATGGTAATAAAAATTCTGATCAAAGAATAATATTAATGTGCTAATAAAAAACTAATGTTCAATCACTTCATTTTTCTTGCCAAATGTACTATGTATTTTTTTCACGTTTGTATCTTACTGCATAAATAATCTGTGCATGTATCTGTGCTGCCACATTCAGTACAAAATAATCCATGATTATAAGGTCTTCTCCTCAGAGTTCCTCTATAAAAAAGCAGAAAACATTTAATTAGAAACAAGTCTCAATTTTTAAATGTGATTTAAACAATATAGTAGTTTTTACTTATTTCAATAAAGTGATGTAATTAAGAAAGCAGACTCAGGGAAGCACTGAAATTGGAGATATAATCCTTTCCTGCTTCCCCTTCCCCCCACAAAAAAACAGTCCTTCTGAAATGAATTCCTACGTCCTTGAAATGAAGTACTATAATTTAACTTTGTTATTGTTAGTAAATGCATAGAGTTGGTTCCAACTCATAGTAACTCTGTATAGGGTTTCAGAGGAGCAGCTTGGTAGGTCTGAACTTCCGACCTTGCATTTATTAGTCCAGTGCTTATCCTATTGTGCCACACCAGGACCATTTCAACAGAACTTTTAAGTCACCAGCTGCTCCTTGGAAACCCTATACAGGGTCACTATGGGTTGGAACCGACTCAACAGCACTTAACAACAACAACAACATCCCAACTAGACAGAAATTATGTATATGTATTTGTAACACCAGGTTTGAAAAAAATCAAGTCTTAGTGGGTTTTAGACATTTCATTTTAGTTTTTAACAAAATTTACCCTATAAAACACTGTTAAAATATTTTATAAATTATTTCTTTCTAATTGAGACAAATGTATTAAGAATTCTGTAAAAATTGTATCTTAATCATTTGAAGTATTTACACAATCCTGAATGGCTACTGGCAAACTGCATATATTATTTTAAGGTCTCACAAGCAATCAAATGAAAACAAATTTTATAAAGTTGATTTCATACATTGCACAAAGCTAAAGACAGAAGTGGGAAACTTAGAACAACTACCCAGAGCTAGGTGTCCCAGTGTAGTGATCTAGGATAAGCACTTTAATGCTAACCACAAGTTCAGCTGTTCAAAACCACCATTGTTCCTTGGAAACCCTATCCAGTTTGCTATAAGTTGGATCCAACTTGATGGCACTTAACAATAACATCCTTGCATTACAAGCTTTCTAGTCCACCAAGGGCATCCAAAGGCTTGTGGTTATTTGCAGATCATTTATCCCTTCTCTAGATTCAATGTCCCACTATCAATCAAGAAATATATTTTGTTTGGATCCCAGTCAGAGCACCAACCTTCTAGAATCTCAAGAATTGATTTAGTCAAGGAGCTCTGGTAACACAGTGGTTACGAAATGGGCTGCAAACTCTAAGGTCAGCAGTTTGAAAATACCAGCGGTTCCACGGGAGAAAGATAAGGCTTTCTGCTCCTGTAAAGATTTACAGGCTTGGAAACCCTGTACAGGGTTGTTGTGGGTCAGAATCGACTCGACAGCACTTAATAACAACAACAACAAACCTAACCCTACGCTACTTTTTCTGCTTAATACTTTTTTACTGAAACAGATGCCCCTCAACACAAAAGCAGCTATTATCGTCTTTCAAGACTCCAGATATGAGGGTGAGGTTAGTGGGGATGGTGTTTCTGTCATTATACCTTAGCAAAGACTACAAAGACTGTCTTTGGGGTCTAGAGCATAGGCCAATCATCCTAAAACCATAATGTCTAATAACCATAATCTGGAATAGCTCTGGGAAGGCAAATCAATCAATCAGTCAATCATACTTTGCTTATAAAAATATTTGAATTTCAAAATCACCATTTGTATAAGATAGAATTGCCAGTTGATTACCCTCTCATGTCTCTTCCTTTAATTCCAAGTTTCTAAGAAGTTGAGCCTTAATCAAATCAAATCTGAAACTACAGAATTCTACAACTGCAGTTGGAATTATTAGGCCAGACTAGGAGAAAACAATCTAGTCTCCTATGGTCAGTAAAATCTACTGAAATTTCATGCCTGAAGAAACAGACAAAACAGTCTGTGCTTTTTCCAAGAAGCAGCCCCATTGGGTTATTAATTTTACAGTCCTGGCTTCTGGTTCGTATCTGGAGAATATGTAGGTTTACCAAGAAGACTGAATGAATCCATTTAAATAAGCCAGAGGAAAAAAACAGTGTAATAAGCAGCAAAGAAAATTGCTTAGTTAAGAGTCCCCATCTGCTTCTCATTCTGACACATCTGATATGTTTTTTCATTCCAAAAACTCTGACTACAATTCTGGACACATTTAAGGTCAGAAAAGTATGACTCCTGTAGTTTTCTGCTTCAAATTATACAAAATAAATTTAAGGTTGTCATATTTTTTCTCTCATAAAGTGCTTAGTGGTTTTGAACTACCAACCTCTGGGTTAGCAACTGAGCACTTAACCACCATGCCTCCAGGTTTCCTTTGCATTCTTTCTGTAAAACCTAGTTGGCCAGATCTCTTCCCTTCCCTGTCATATCATGCATGTAAAGGTTTGGGGACCACAGTTAAAAGCTGATAAAGCTCCTTGAGGTCTATACTTTTTAGCTGGACGGTCCTCTAACCCTCCTCAACATAGTTATGCACTTGCTGATTGCACCTCTTTATTCACTGAAGTCTTCAGCACCTCATTCAACTCAACTGTTTCCACTGTGCTAGAATCTGGGACCTAAATGATTATCAGACTCGTATGAGTTTTTCATCCACTAACTTGGCTTCTCTGTTACTGGACATCTTCACCGTCAAAAAACTTTCCAATACTCCATAATTATCAATAACTTTTATAAGTCACTCTGAATCCTGTCCTCCCCTAAACTGCTTCATCTCTGAACTCACAAATCAGACATTCCATTCACTGTCTATAATCTCTTGTCTTTTCAAGTTGCTCACTCATTTACTCGTATAACAGTTCTTTATTAATTGTACTGATGTCAAGTCTGTTTTCTCTCCAGTTTTCTTCCTATCCATCATTATCTCTCTTTTCTATCCAGCTTATGTCTACTGAATCACATATTCTGTAGCCCAAACCTCAAACTCTCTTGCACTCATTTCCTTCCCATCTATTTGATATAACTCCACTGTTGGAAAAATGCGAAGAAACCAAATATCAACATGTTCCATGTCTGCTCCAGGACTGCTGAGTGCTATTGGAGAAAAATTACTATAACTATTAAACTAGATGGAGAATCCTTCCATAGCTTCCTACTACTCAACTTCTTCTCTTACTTTCCATAATCACTATTTCAAACCTTCTCCAGCCATCAAAATTCCAGCCCCATGGCCTTCTTTTATTTTCAAGATATGTTCTGTTCTACTTCACAATTGTTAGATCAAAAGTTGACAGTTTCTTTTGCTAAACATCACAAATAGTTCCACTATTCTTCCTGCCTAATACAACGAGACGGATTGGTCAAGAGGCAGCATCGATGGACTCAAGCGTGGCAGTGGTAGTGATGTTGGCCCAGGATCCGGCATTGTTTCGTTCTGCTGTGCATAAGGTCGCTATGAGTTGGTACCGACTTGATGGCACCTAACAACAACAATAACACAACTAAAGAATAATTGCTCCTCTTTCTAGAAAAAGCTTTTATTCCCTTTATCTTCTCAGGAACCTGTAGCCTTAAATACATAGACTATGCCTTGTATTTGTTGTTGTTAATTGGTTTCAAGTTGATTCTAACTCATGGGGACCCAATGTGTACAGAGTAAAACTGTGTTCCATAGGGTTTTTAAGGCTTTGACCTTTTGAAGGCAAAGTACTAGACCTATCTTCCAAGGCAGCTTTGAATGTGTTCTGACTGCCAAACTTTTGGTTAGTGGTTGAATGTTTAACCATTTGTGCTACCAATGAGTTCTTTTGTCTAGTACTGTTATGTGCTGTCAAGTCCAACTCATAGAGACTTTACAGGACAGAGCAGAACTGTTCCATAGGGAATCCTAGGCTTTATGAGACTAGATCTCAAGGTTGTTTCGCCTTTGTAACTACTGGTGGGTATGAACTGCTGACCTTTCTGTTAGCAGTTGGACATTTAAACTAAGAGCCATCAGAGCTCCTTTTGACTTGTATGCTTAACCTTTTATTCTGCATTATTGTTTTCGTGTTAATATATAAACATGCTCATATCTTTCCCGTCTTAAAAAACAGTACCAATTTTAAAATGCATTAATATTCTTCTTCTACAACAAACTGCCCTTCCTCTTTCTTACTCTCACAACCAAATGTCTTGAACAAGTGGATTATGCTGGATCTATTTCCTCAGCTTCCCCTCATCCCTAAATTCATTCCAACTTTGCATAAGTCTCCTATATTCCACAGAAATGGTTCACTCTAATTTTATCAACGACCTTCTCTCTAAATGTGTTATGACATTTTTCAGTCCTTACTTTGCTTAACCACTTAGAACTTGAAATTCTTCCTATTATAAACAGTATTTTCTCCCTAAATCCTATGCTATCGTATTCTTTCCTTTTTTCCCTCCTGCCTGCCATTCCCCTAAACCACTATATGTTCCTCTAACTTGGATCCAGAAAGCCTCTTTTCTTTTTATTCTATACTTTCACTGAAAGAACCCTGGTAGCATAGTGGGTTACATATTGGACTGATAACCACAAGGTCAGCAGTTCAAGTCCACCAGGTGCTCCATGGGACAATGATGAGGCTTTTTGCTCCCATAAAGATTTACAGTCTTGGAAACCCTATACAGGGTCACTATGAGTCGGAATCAACTCCACAGCACACCACCATCACTGCTTTTTTACCGGACAATCTCATCTACTCTTATGATTACTGCTACTCCAAATATTTACTATATGCCATAACTCTCTCACGAGCTTCGTGATCCATACAACAACCTTCTTACTAAACATTGTAAAACAAATGTATTACAGCCAATTCAAAATCATTATTTTCAAAATGGAACACATCATATTTCATCTAAAAGGTACAGTGTTCCCCATTGCAACCAACGATAGTACAGTCTATGACTAAATTATAAATCTGAGAATCATTCTTGCCTCTTTTCTCTCTTGCTACTTAATAAAATGATCTAACAATTCTAGTATTTTATATTTCCTTTAACCATCTTTAAATGTTTTAATCTGTATTTCTCTCCAATATCATCTTGGGAATTCCTTTTGAAATTTATTTTGC